AAATTATGCTTGACCAGAGCAACTGCATTTTCTTATCGACGGCTGTACATTAAGCTTGACTCATGATCATGAACAACCTGCATTAAAGTACAACTGTCTGTACAAGGCAAGCAGTACTAGTGGTGTGATGAACTACCCGCGATGACTCGTCGGTGTGGGGCTGACATCTGGATCCCAGGGACAGGCTACATGCATGTGTTAGGCACCGGTGTTACCGGTAAACTGGGGTATTTTTGTCACCATATCTCACTCGGTCGTCGTTGCCGCCGTCACGCAGTGATCATTCGTTTCGTATTTGGTAAGTGCGGAAAGCTGAAAGTCATCCTGGTATAAATATGCTATGGTGGGAAACCTAGGCTCGTCCCCAACCCCCCTGCTTCTACGGCTAGGGGAAACCTTGACACAGAGTGCTGCGACATTGATTTTGCTTACTGACACATAGAGTATAAATTTCGTGCCAAGAGTGGTTTAGGACAGAATATTTTTATAGTCAATAACGAGCAGATACCGCGGTAATTCGTCTCAGCGCACAGTTACACAGACGTCCAAGTAAGACAAATGACTAGATCAAGGAATTTCAACGTCAATATGAGCGTCCGCTGAGAAGAATTACTGCAGTAGAATGATGGAGCAAGTGAAACTGAGTAGATCTATTTAATAAAATCAAAAAATATAGATCGTGGTTGACGACACTGGAGCTATCATAGCCTATGAGCGGTCAAAGTTGAGGTGTCCAAACTACCGTAAGAACTCGATAGGTGAGCCAGGGCCAAAGCAACCAATCAGAGATCTCAGGTTCGATAGATGAGCCCGGGCTTACATATTGAGCCTTTACGGTACTCCGTGACAAGGCTCCCCCATCATAACCTTTTGGAAGAGTCATCTCGATGTCGTTTTCTGGCCGGTGGACGCATACAAAGAGTGGTCTCTGCCGATCGTGTTTCAAGCAATGTCGTGCAGTACCGATATTTCTGGCGAGTACGTCCATGGGCTTAAAGCAAAGTGATAGGAGGAAAGTCAAGGAAAACTGGTGGTGTATGCATATTCCCGTGACTTGAGCCAATCAGCAAGCGATTTTCTACCACCACTTTGCTTTAAGCCCATGGGCGTACTCGGCAGAAATATCGGCATCTGCTTCACCGGACATTGTTGCAGTCAGATCTGCGAAGTGAGAGTTAATATCTATGGCTCGTTATCTTCAGGATTATGCGTGCGACTCTTTGGCTGAATAAGTAAAATAGCATTAACGCATCCGGATCCTCTCACAAAACCGCACTCTGCAGCATAAAGTAAAATTTACTAGTGTCTGATATGTAATCCTCAAAGAAAATCGTACGGGAATCCGCAGAAAACTCATACACAAATTACACGACGCTGCAGGCTGCCTTACTAATTTGAGAAAGACCTAAACCGAAGACAAACTGATAGTAAGGGCTTTGTGGAAATATCATTGGTGCCGATCCTACCAGCTGCCAATCAGATAACGGGAATATAGAGCTGGCTCCATTTGCGCAAAGTCTCTCTATGGGGGGGTGATGGTCTAGTCTAAGTGTTCTTGATGGACTAAGTTTACGTCCCTGATTACGTTTCCCTTAGCTACTGTGAGGCTTAGCTGACGCCATGCGCAACAGCGCGTGCACAGACGCTGAAGATCAACCAAGGTTCTCACAGGGGTCCATCCCCACTTCCGGTCAGCAAGAACCCTGTAGACTGCGGAGTAAAAAATGCTTATATTAGCTTGTGGAGAAACACGGCCAGCTGGTTTCGTGGTGTAGTTGGTTATCACACAAGTCTAACACACTTGTGGTCCCCGGTTCGAGCCCGGGCGAAATCATCTCTTTTGCTTAGTCGGGTGATGTTTTTTTTTTCGGTGATCACCGCCGGTGGTGGTGGATTTTTCTTCGCTGGGATGTTGTAGGTTAGGGGAAGAAAGAGACTCGCTGACCATCACATATAATCACTCGTATTTGGGTGCAAAACTGGTGTTGTAACGCCAGCGAAAAAGGTTAATTATGGAGCCTTTATTACCAGTAGATTAAACATAGAGTTTACGATTTTGTAGGATTTTTAGCTGTACCGGTAGTTTTACATTACTCCCATACCCGAAAACTCTCACACATGAAAGATTTTCACAATCTCTTTTCCCCAAATCCACTCGTCGCACAACCAAAAAGCGCCAAAAGAATGAATCAGCCGGGAATCGAACCCGGGTCGGGCGCAAATCATCGAGGAGATGGCAAGCGCCCGTGATACCACTACACCACTGAATCCTTGCTGCAGTGGACACCTCGTGCTTTTATATTTTTATTGATTATTGCCAAGTGTGGTTGATTATGTAAGTAGTGGGATGGGAGTGGTGAGCTGTGGGGTGCACGTGGTGGAGTTAATTGTGGTTTGGGTCGGGATGTACATGTGTGGTGGATGGTCTGTTTCAGCAATTGCTACTAGCTTCAATTCTTTGAATGGGAGAAACGGATTTGATTGATGTCTGGTACATTCATGCCAGACTTGCAGTTGCTGGGCCGCGCCGCTCCATTCATGATGGACATCATGCCCGATAGTAAGGGTTGGAAGTCAATTGGGGCAAATACGGGGGTATGAAAATAGAGCTTCAATCCAGAAAGATCCGGAGTTCAACAAGCCATTGGCGGGTGCGATGTAGATAGGTAGGTAGCAAAGGCGTGTATTTTATTCAAGTATCGACGTTGTTCAGAGGGCTTATCAAAGCGTTTTGGCGGAAGTAGATTAATTCATCACAAGAAAACGAAAAGACCATGGTTTGCTTGCTCAACAATTATATTCCATAAAGTATAGAAAAAGAAAATCACCCTTCCATCCTCCTCCTCCTCCTACACTACCAGCCGCGTGGTGCATTTACTGGTATGCGAGCTTTCCGTTGTGGTTTGTGATGCGCTCGGCCAAGTTGAGATCACGGTCGTGCCAGTTATCATGGGAGTCCCTCAGCTCCGCCCTCATAACAGGGACATTAGCATCTCCTTCGGTATTGAAGCGGACATTACGGGCAGATCCAGTGAAGTTCTTGCCATCCCATGCGAAGTGACCTATCATTGTTCGATATTAGTTGGTTGCGGAACAGAGCTGGGAGCTGGATGGAGTTTACTGACCGTCATTGTTTCCAATGTGCTCGTCAAGACAGAGGCGGTCATCGCCGCCGCCGTTCATGTGGGCGCAGAGGTAGGTGCGGCCATCATGGGACTCGACGCGGATGTTGCTGGATGAGAGGTGGAAAGACATTGTGCTTGTTTAGTTGTTCTGTGGTGTGTGTATAATGGGTTCTTTGAAGTGATGATCTTTGGTGATGATGGTTCGGCGGGGAGGAAAGAGAAGATGGCCTTTATATACAGCTTGGTCGATGAGGGGTTGGCAGGAGAGGAAGCAGCGTAACACACGCACATGGCCTGCCAGCCCCCGCGTGGCGGGTCCGTTCCTGTGCATTGGTCAATGGATTGATAATGGCAATTGCGTCAGCTGTAGCTGAGCTGGCTGTCTGTCAAATTTGGCTTGCATTGAGGCCGGGACAGCTGCGATTGATGATCTGCACGCAATCGATGAGCATGACATAGTGCACCTTAATGCTGTTTATAACATGTCTCGGAATATTATTCAGATGATCCACCCCATGCACGGACTATGTATTGTAGATGCATACATGTATATAGCGGGGCTGGGGATATACATACCTAATTTCTCAGGAGACCGATCTCGCCTCCTTCATCGCTGGCTGGCGTTCTCGGGCTTGATCAAAACTGCCCACTAGTTCTAAAGTGTGTATATGCCAGTACCTCTCGGTTTGGTGACATCATTCTGGGAAGGCGTGGCAGGGATCGTGTTTTGTTGAGAAGGGCTGAGTGAGGGAGCCCTGGAGCTAACGGTGCACTAGAAATCATTGGCCCACTGCCAAGCATGGGGTATTCCGGGCGGAACACGAATGAGGGCCCCAGGCATGGAGAATCACTCGGATTTATGGTATGATGTGGTGATGTGATGAATTTCTATTTGAAATGCCCATAAACATTGCAGTTACGAGATATCGTTTGTATTCCTGCAGGTTGTCTACCCCGCACCTCCCGCGGTGCTGTCGCCAATCGCGAGCGGGTGGCAAACTTGCAGGGGAAATTGAAATGTGAGACGTGCAGAGGTGGGCACAGACGTGAATAGGCAGAATAGTTTAATTGGGATGCGGACTATTTTGTGATCATGATCATCTGGGGTGGATGGCTGCCATTGGGAGCCGTGTGTGAGAAGAGAAGAATATGCAAGAAGATTAATAGAATGTGCATGTAAGTGATGATGATGATTTTCATCATCATAGCTGTTATAGTTGAAGCTCTGGTATATCTCCATCCTGAGATGTCAGAGCCCCTATATCTTTCACAAGGCTTGCGTATGTACTACGGGTGTCAGGGTACCCGTAGTACGTATCACAAGGAGCCTCAGATACCACTCTTCACCGTGTCGACCATGCGGTGATTACGAGCATCTCGACAATCTTCGTGAGTACAAGGACTGTACGTACTCTACTTACTGGAAAATCTTCTGTGGTGTTAAGATTCGAGGGACAGTAACCGGGGGCGTTCGGGTTGAGACCAGCAAGCACTCGAGGCACACACGGTATCCCGAGTAAAAACTGATCGACCGCGGAACCGCCAGGGTCCACGCCAAGAATTCAATCGGTCGTCCTTTCACGCACTTCGAAATGCTTGAACTCAGAAACGCCTGGAATGTTTGCTTTGATCTTCAATTCTGGAATCCGGGTTTTTAGTGCTGAAGATCAATTGACTGACGCCCAGGTTCCCCATCAGGTTCAGAGAAGTACGACCGCTAGATATAAAGTAATCAACAGACTGCTTCCAAGTCGAGTCCAGAAGCTCTTTTCCGGATTCCTCACAGCTCTGTCGCCAACAATTTTACCCCAATCCCCATCACTAGGCAGGGTGAGCCACACCTTGATCATAATCCCAGCCAGCCACGAGACCAGGTTCTCCGTGGCGCAATTGGCTAGCGCGTTCGACTGTTAAGAAGCAATCGAGAGGTTGACAGTTCAAGCCTGTCCGGGGAAGCATCTCATCACTTTTTGGCGGTCTCTTGTTTCGCACTCGCCGGGTCTGTGGTGTTTCGTGGATCGTGGGATCTAGAAAATTTTCTTTTCCCTTTTGCTCTTTCGCCCCTCTGTGGTAGAACTCGATTCCGAGCAGTTGGATTGGTCGGGATTGATATTTAAAAGAGGTTTTGGCAGCGCTTATGTTCCGATGGCAGTGAAGACTTAGGTTGGAATGGAGGGCCTAGATCGAATTCCATGATATAACGCCAGTGTGGGCCAGAGAAAAATAAGCAATTGAGTTAAGACACCTGACGCTCAAGCCACGCCGAGTCCTCTATCTTCCCATACACGAAATCCATGGTTATTTGGGCAGGCGGTGCACATTAGTGTCTGTGGGGGGCGCGTGGGGCGGCCTATGGAATTGACCACGGCGTTTTGCCGCTTGGTGCTTGGTTCGGGGTTCGGGGTTCGAGTGTGAGGTACCGTTAATTCTCGAGAAATCCACTATCTCCGCTTCGCTAAATCTCAGTTCCGGGTGAGAAAAAGAAGATAGATGTATGTACATATCTGCACGAACCCGTGAAGTTTGATACGCCAATTCGCCTTCTTCGGACTTACCACATACAAATACGGAGATCGTGGATTATTCGAGAATTAACGGTATATACATGTAGGTAGGTGAGATATTCGAGAATGGGCGAGGGTTAGGGTTGGTAATACTTTTTGGAGTGAATGATAAATTTGTTGGTTTACGTGACTGGGGTTGTGAGGCTTGGGTTGGTACATGTATTTATGGGGGGCGCGATTTATCGATCTTGTGATCATTGCCAGCTTGAGAGTACCAGCTGGTGTCTGTTATTGTAATTGGTGGTCTATTGATTGTCTTGTGTTCTGGGATCTTGTGGGGGTGTTTTTTTACAAGAGGATAATTGATTATTGTAGATTGCTTCACAACTGATGGGAAATTGAAGAGATCTGGATTGTTTCTTCTGCCGCTGATCAAAGGATTGATGCTGTTCACAACTACCCAATACCGAATCCCCAGAAACACGAAATAGCTTCTATTCCTCATTACCAGCCCTCTATACGCTCCCCCTCCTCATTTACACATATCCCTTCCCCTTCTCCACCTTATCATTCTCCTCCGCCTGTCTCCTTTCCTTATTCTCCGCCGCGCGTCTCTTCGCCCTCACCTCCTTCCTTCTCCTCTCACCACCATCAACCTTCACTCCCCTTTTATGCTCCCTCAACACCAGCCTGTCTCCAGCCACCCTAAACGCCTCTCTCCAGTGCAATATGTATCTGCGGTCCCTCGTCGGCTCGATCCCCAGCGCCTTCATCTGCGCGGACGTGAGGCCGAAGAACTGCTCCCAGGTCTCGAACTTGGCCGCGTGCTGTGTGGTGTTGCGCCCGATTTTTGTCAGGAACGTGGTGACGTCGGGTACGGCGGTGGTGCGGGGAGGAATGGGGGGTGCGGGGAGGGAGGGGTGGAGCGCGCGGGCGAGGGTTGTGGCGGCGCTGCGGGGGGCGGCGAAGAGGGTGCTGGGGAGGAGGCGGCGGAACATTGTGGTTGTGTGGGCGGTGTCCTGGTTCGTATGTTAGTTTGCGGCCGGCGGAGGAGGGGGAGGGGGGTATACGCTCAATTCCTCCGGACAGGACGGGTGGGCGTGGGCGTGGGTCAATCGGTGTCAGTCGATGCTGCCAGTGCTTGTTCGTCTCCCCCGGCGGGGAATATTTTGAGTTGAGGTTCAACAAAGGCTTGGCAGACTAACAAACCCTAACCTCGAGTACTATGTAAGCTGCATGACAAGACATCTGAAACGCTACTATTATATTCTGCTCTACTAACCAGCCTGCAGGTAATACACGTAGATATGAACGTCCCGGGTTCCTGGGTCAGTTAATGTTATAGCAAGCCCGGGCTATGATCGCCCGGCCCCGGACTGGCCCGTATTAATATTGGGGGCCGGATAATAATGGGAAACTCTGTGCGCTGATAGGTGGTCGCTCATAGTAGCCCCGGTACGCACACTGTCCAGGGCCAGGACCACAGTCTAATCTAACTAGACGTGCCACTTTTATTCCCAAGGCTTTCTTTCGGTTCATCCTCCTAGTACAGTAGATCGAGCAACCATCTGGATTTTGTACGTCCTTTTTTTACCCGTGTACGTACATGTAAGACGTCAAGATCTTCCTACAGTGCAACTGAACGCGTACGTGGTCGCACCGAGAGCACAAGAAAGTACATGTATTTAAGCTCTCGTCTCCGGAGTCATTCCATGTGCAGTGCAAACCGGGATACTTTGAGACAGCTGCACGCCGGCCCCCACCACCTCTGTTGACCAGCTACATATGGCGCGAGAAGCCATAGAGGGTGGATGTGTCGACTTCGGGTAGTATAGAAACCAGAGAAAATACCAGGCGCTAATACCGTTATAGCAGCAGATCCCCACAATTTCTGCATATTGGTTGTTTCTTCAGTTTTCGACAAAGTTTACATACCTGCGCCACCATGGCTGAACTCTTGCACCAGACATATCTTAGGTATCTGCTCGCAGCCGTTCATGGCCTTGTATCAGTCACCGGAGCAGGACTTCATAACTACATGTACATGTGTGGTCTAGACCATCGCTGGCCGATCGGCTCGAGTGTTGCATGTTGGAAAGCTTAATATAAGCTTCTCTTGCAGCCTGGAGAACTGGCTAGAACGGGCCCATATGTTGTTTGGTTGTTTGGTTGTCTAGTCATTCCTCCCAAACATCTTCATGAGTTTTATCGCACAAGGACCTATCACCGCGTCTATGGCTGCTACCGGTGGGTTCGAATACTGTAGACTGGTCGACTGGTAAAAAAGACAAGAACAAAGAGGCCCAGAAGCACACCCACTGGGGAGATTATGACTAGATGCACTAGCCTACTCTTTCCGACTAACAATCGGTAATGGGCCTTGTTCTAGGAATATACTGGCCTGTGGATCGATAATTGGACATCTCACAATTAAGAGAGCCGCGCAAACATGTCATGGCTTGGAATCGTTTACGAGGGGATTTAGTAGCAGCGAGCTAGTCATGATATATCCATACCAACTCAACTGCTAGGGACGGTTCATATATGGTCACAGCAATCATATTGTCCAGTACAGGTGTGTCATTCCAATAGAACCCTCTGTTGAAAAAAGAAAAGAATAATGTACAAATGAATGTGTGACCCAAAGAAATACCCTAGTAACTACTGTGAAGAAATATTAATGATAGTAAACCGTTCGAAAGCGTCTAAGTCAAGCCCTCGCACTTCCACACACACACACACACACACACACACACTTATGGTATCGAGTTTAATGCCATGGTATCAAAAAAATCTCTCGTCTGAGGCTGCGGTCTATAGGAATATCTGAAACCCATGCATGCACCCCTTCGTTGGGCTCTATATGCAGAACCGCAACGAATAGAGAAGTATTTGCTACCATCTTGCTCTACCAAGCGTCCGAGAACTAAACAACTATCATCTGCACAGGAGAACCTTCAGATTCCCTCGTGTCCCAACGAATCTACAGTTTGAGTTTCCTGTTAGCAAACTTTTGTCCTTTTGGAGTAATGAAGGAGGAGACACATACAACATAACCACCGTCTGCGTCCGGGAAATATTTGAAGCCGTCCGTCAGCTCATGGCACGCCAGAAGCCCGCCTTCCACTGACCAATATGCTTTGAAGTCGGTCTATTCGTTGACACTCATGTTAGTCACTACTTGATATCTAAAATTACGGAGAAAGAAAGAAATTTTTTAAATTACATACCGCCGGGATAACGAATCCATATATGAAATCGTATAGAGGAGCCCCATCCACCTGGAGGAAAACGAATCCATCTTTCGTGACGAGATATGAGTTTCCTTGCTCAGTCCCGTTGATATACTGTCTCAATTTATATATTTTAGCTCCAAAACCCTTCAAGAAGTGTAGCCGATAGAGAGGTTTTAAAACATACAGCCCGGAATTTTTTCGCACCAGGACGGCCGAATCCAAGTTCGCCATCTTTCATATCCATTGTGTAACCCTTGTTTGTTATATATTTGTTGCCCGGGGCGCGAATCTTGATATTGAACCAGTCTTTTGGAGTAACACGATCATTTTTATCGCGATATTCGCTGATGTCGGCCGCAGCCACGAAGAACACAAACAGCGACAGTACAAGCGCAAAGAAAATCGATTGTCTCATCTTTGCTAAGGTGTGTGTGTGTGGTGGATTAAAATGATATATATAGGTAAGATAGGTGTGTAAGTGTTTGATACTTGTGCTGGGTACGAACTAAGGATGGGGAACAAGATCCAAGAAGTGCGTAAGTAAAGCTCTCTTTATATAAATGAATAATGAAGGGAGATTCAATGGAAGGGGGGGAGGGAGGGCTAACGAAAAACAAACAAAGACTCGGCACAAAATAGAATCAGAGTAATATCTTGACATCATGTTTTTATTCGTGCCTCATGCTCTCACACGGCGCGCAAACCATATACCTACTTAGCCGTGCGGCTGCGGCACAGAGATGGCCATACCCAGAGCAAGTAACTGCAGTACCTACTTGAGGAACACATTAAGGCCCATTGCTCTAAACGAAATACAATAGGGGAGGGGGGGGGGGGGGCTCGGGGATCTTTGACGAGAAGAGTTGGGTTGGAGGTGGTTGAAACAAGATCGAAGTGGACGCATACGTGCTTCCCGAGACCCACGCCGTTTGTTCCAAATGACCCGATTCTGGCCTCCCCCCTCGCGTATTTCCTAGAAAAAACAGAAAGCATGAGAATAAGCACAAGCAACACAATTACCGGCAGTCTAAATTCTAAGCCAGTTCCAGGCTGACACGAACAAAACACAAAAAGTTACAGCCCTTAATTCGGCCTCCATGCAATTCGTGTAACTATGGGGTTATCGGAACAAATATTACCTACCTACACCTCACTCACCCCCCAAACTCGAAGAAGGTTGGATCGACGAACATAAGATTGCCAGGAGCTAGGAGGA